TCGTGTCCGTTGCACTCTTTGACCAGTGGTCGTTGATTCCCCGTTAGAAGAATCATCATAATTCGTAGTAGATCATTTGGATGGTCAGCCAGTTGGCGTTCTTAGATCAATGGCCCAAGCACAAACTCAATTTAGGGGCTAATTGTTTAGGTGTGAAATTTTCTACCATTTGACTACATTAGAATCTATTGAAGACTCGAGTTAATAGACTTGACCCCTCTATCCTACTGGGTGATGTAATCAATTCCCCAGGGTGAAATTATTCATTTAAGGAATTTACATCATTGAGCCAATCAACCGATGCCCGAGTGTAGCATATCAAACGAAGCTGATTGCCCAGCATGAAATCGATACGTGACGTTCCGGATAATGAAGACCTGCTTCGGTTTAGTCAAGTACTTGACTTATGCTCGCTGTATCTTATTTTCGCGATGACAAATGTTGTCCGTCCATCTTTGATCATATCTCGAACAGATTGCTACCATTCACACATTTCAAATTTGGCTTCGTTTCTTTTTCTTATATTAAATATTTTTAAGTGTAGAGAATTTTATGAAACAATTAAAAGTATATTCTTGAAAAGTTTACATACATTTGTCTTTATATATATACATTCATTTGGTTTTCAAGCGGAAGCACATTATCTTTTAATTCTACACACAATCATTGATAATGTGCTTTTTTATATTAAAATGTGAAACGCAGTGCACGTGTTATCATTGAATGTATAAATTTTGTTTGAATATTAATATTTAATTTTTCATGGTTTTCTATCATTATTATGTTGTTGATTCAATATGGTCCAATAGGTTTTTATCAATGTATCTATCTATTTTTCTGTTAAAAAAGATGTGCTTCAATAATATTTCAAAAAAATCGATACGACCTCAGAAAAAAAAGGTAAGTCATTCTAGGAACTTTTTAGAGTTATATTATTTTTCTTTTATTATGCACAAATGAAAATAATACACATACATTGAATATGAGTTAAGGCATTCGCTACGCTTATCATCGAAATTGTGAAGTGTATTCATAAATATTTTGTTTTTCATAAGAGTAGATTATCATTCAATGAAACGAAGTCATCGCCCCTATTTTCGGCTAAATCTGAAATAACAGCAAGATGTCATCAGCTCATTTCATTTAGATAATATAAATTGAATGGAAACTCGTTAAAAGTCCTGTTCACATAATTATATACCTGTGATAATTATGATGCAATTAATATATTTTAACCATTACCAATTTTTCATTTCGGTAAAATGTTTACATGCCATCTCTGTTTTTCGCTAATATGTTGCTAATAGCTTGTTGTCTAATTTGGAGTCAGTTTTTTTATTTATAAGTGGGACAGCCCTCATACACGCATTGAGCGACATACCCGCCAATACACTTCCTCTTATTGCCGACAATCGATTTCACAACTAATTTAATAAACGAACGATGCCATCCGATCTATTTCCGGAATTACTTCAACAAAATATCATTAGTTGATTGTTAATGTTCGATGTTTCCGTTTTCTCACCGACCGGATTCTGATCCTGTTTTTCTATGCACCTCTCCTTTCACTGTGTTGATGGAGAAGGTTATTACAATATAGAAAATCGATGCAGAGTAACCACAGGTAAATTTATCCATAATCAAATATTTCCGTTAGCTCATGGCTTCTATTATAGCTGAATAACGCCGTATAATTGTATCTCTCTATCAGAACGGTTGACGGGACCTCAGTTCAATACGGGACTTTTGTAGTAAGGTTTTAATTCATTGTTGCGAGAGCTAGCCTGAGTCGGTATCATTATTTTATCTAGATTTGAGCGAGCGGTTTCTAGTTGCAGGACATTCATGTGTTAGATTTTAATTCATTTGTTAAGAGTCCCTTACAGAATCTGAATCACTTTCAGTATAGGCTGTCGTTGACATTCTTTGCCTTTGGAAAATAAATCGTCTGTTTCATATTATTTTGATTTTATCAGCCGTCCTGCTAATGGATCGTCGGCCATATTGGATAGCCATAAACACTATCGTTTGTGTAAGGTTACTGTCGGACAGAGCATGCACGGGGGCATTTACTGTCAAAATACAAACAACTTTTCAATTTTGTCATTTATGTTATTAAAATTGTGCCTTCCAACGATGTTATATTTATATCATAAATTGTATATATCTTACTGTGATCATATATGAGTTAATTCAATACTGGAAGTGATTTAACCGAAATATTGCATTTGGACCGGGTTTTTTAGATACCATTCAAGTTATACTGGTAATAACAAACGACAATCCCATAGTTATAAGTCAGGTTTAATAGGAAATGGCTAATGGAAATATACATACCAATCTAATTTGATATCAATGATTCAATGATTCAACCATGATGGGTACGCTTGTAGATTGCAATGCTGTCGTCGAAAAAAAAGTGAAATAGATTACGTTATAGCACATGGCCCTCTCGTTTTAAAACGTATTCACCTATCACATATACATTCAAAAATATAGTAACCCTTCCATTATCAACAATGAAATTAAAAACAATTTAGGTAGAAATATATCCTTTTCTTTAAAATTCCTAAAATAAATACTACTTCCGAATCTGTAAATAAACTAGAAAAACATTGATAGGGAGACAAGCTGGTCGCTTTTAGTTTGTTTGTATCGTTAGTGTATTATTTATGTATGTACTTTGTTGGCAACCAAAGGCCCCTAGACCTCGAAGCTTCCTTATTTATGTGTAAAGCCGAGAAATCACGAACATCGATGAAATATTCCTTCTCTTTATTTACCTACAAACATAACTACATATATAGAAAATATTTTAAAGTAAATGTCAAATAATATAAGTAATATGATTAGGACCTACATGCAAGCAAATAATTCTATCAAAATCATCACTATTTTATTTCTTCTACCACGAAATAATATGGACTTTTTATTTCAACAGCCTTGTCAGGTCTAATAATTGTAACAGTGAAAATAGTTTTAAGAAACTAATTAAAATGTTGCGGTCAAAATATTCTAATCAAAGTTCATTGAATTGTTGTCAATAAAAATGTGTTACAATCTTAGAAGATTAAATAATATTTCACATAAAAAATAGTATTAAATATTTATCGCAAAGTTTGAAGTCGAAGTTGTCCTAATAGTTATATGACAATATCATAATTTAAAGATATTAAACTGTTATCTCAAAGATAATTCGGCCGCAGTAAACTAAATATCAAAATCAAGGTTAATTAAGTCACCGTAGGCTAAATGGTGATCTCGAAACTAATGAAGTCATAATTGACTTAATGGTCATCTCAAAGCTAATGAAAGTATTATAGATAACATAGTCAAACTTTTGATATAAAAGCCAAAGAAATTATAATAGACTAAACAGGCTTAATACTGATATCAAAACAAATATAATTCTAATGGTCTAAATATTTATCTCGAAGTTAAAAAAATGAATAGGTTAAATAGTATATCAAAGTTAATTAAATAATAAAAGACAGAATTGGCTGAATATTGATATTAAAACTAGTGAAATTGTAATAGACTTAATAGTTATCCCACAACTATATCTTAATGAAATCTATGTAGGCTAAATCCATGATCTGCTTATGTAGTATTCAAACTCCAGCGTGACACCTCAGACAATATAATGTTAAATCATATCGACACTGGTACACATGATGTATAAACTATGGATTTAGTAACAACAGTAAAAATATCCTATCACGATGTTCCCCTTTGTATAAATCCCACTTAGGGCTAAGTTGATACATTATGGAATAACTAAATATAGTAACAAATGATGATGCTCTGTTTTCGAAACATTCAATCACATAAAGCTTGTCCCCCAGTGGTTCTCTAGGTAGATCTGTTTCAGAGATATTGACAAAGAATGTTAAATATCTAGTTTGTACATATTACCTTATTCATGCTGTCAGATGCTATGGTATGTTTGTTTTCGTTTTGGCTCTGACCTTTCCATAGATTGTATTGGAGTACTGTGATGGCGTCATAATTAGTCACGTGATATATTGATAATAGCATGTTGTAACTGACATGAAAGTGTCATCCATAGCTCAGATATAAAATTCCATAGCTCGTAATGCACAGATGTCAAATTCCAATATGGAGAAGAGCGTATGTAATATTCATTAATTTAGATAAAATCACACGCGTATTCACACACAACCGACGGTCGGGACCGCGGATGGGTATCGCAACAATAAAATCGTGGAATTACTACCAATCGAATTGGAGGAGAAAGGACACTGGGAGGTCGATATCATATCTATTAACGCGTGTTCTCAAACGACAAGAATTAAAAATGTATCTCTTGATATATAAACCTGACTTAATGTATCAATGAGGTTTTGTATTGATTCTAGACCGATGTTGACGGTGATCACCATAGACTCTCATTATTCAAAAAAAAAAATCAAATTGAAATCGATTTTTCGTAAAATCCATACATTTCATTAGGAATGATATTTACTATTATACAATTCTTTCATTGCGTCTTTGTATATGAACACAGTTCAAGTTAGCTTAGATTTTATTCTCGATTCATATTAGAGATTAAACAAGCAGTATTTAAAACAATAGAGAGAAGTGATAAGGTCATGTGTTTGACTTTTAATATATATTTAACATCTCCTGTCCTGCTTCTGTTTTATCTAACTGTTATCCCCTCACCTACAATTTGATAGCAAAGGAAACAGGTAGCTACCTTCAGATGTATTGCATGATTCAATATCTTAACACTATTTGAGTAGTTTTGGCCTTTGAAAAACTATCCCGTAAAAATTAGAAAGACAGAAAATAACATGGAAAATGATTTTTTATGAACTGTCTTTCAAAGTCTATAACAATAAAAGCTATTGGTAAACTCACGTTAAACGCATGTGCCAGACCGATATTTATCATTCATAGTCATTTACTGTTTATGTATGTAAACGTTTCTTTATCCATACCATCTCTAATTTTATGATTCTGTTTATGTTTTTCAGATTTTTCTTAAAGTTTTTCATGAAATGCAATCAAAATTGTCTAAAAAATGCCGGAAATCCACGGGACATGAGGCGCTTCCAGGTGAGTTTACATTTAAGTTACTTTACATCATTTTTGTAGCATTCATCTATACAAGTAGTGTAATGATGTTACATCACCTCTACGTGTTGCCTTAAGATTGTCTTTGTGAGTTCGTTGAAAAATACTTTTCAGAAATAAAACAAAAAAACTTTTCTGTACATTAATCCTAAACAAAAACATTTTTTTCAATTTGTTTAAAGTTGTTAAATCTTTTTCAAAATTCCCCTTCCCTGTTCCCCTGTTCACACTGATTCGATAGAAAAATGCGAGGAATTATGGGCCATCGATGGCGGAGATACCCCCAATAAACGTTGACCTTTTGGGGTCAGAAACTTCCTGGCCTTTGATCAATAATCCCATTCACTTCCGTTGCATTTTGTTGAAAGAAATATAGCGTACTATAAACAAATATATCTCTGACGTCATTATCTCGGCGAGATATCCCTGCCTAGTTGTGGAACGCTGACGTGATGAGACAAGGCAGTAGAGAGTCGGATTAATGTCAATGGCTGTTCCATTAGGGAGAAATGACAAGATTTGGGGGATTACGTTGAGTAGAATGTTATTAATACCGCACACGCGCGATGTGAAGTAAAGGCAGACGATTATACTCTCCTGTAATGGCGGTATTATTCCCATGTGGCGTATTCCCAACCGAAGTAGTCAGCATACTAAATGTATATTAAAAATGTCTTGACATATATGCACACTCTGTGATGTAAAGAAGCAAAAAGTCATACAAATATCGCCAATCTCCATATAATCCGATGCCCCGTTGCCATAGTGATATGTAAATGAACAGGAATTGTAATTAACTGAAAGACCTTTTCCAATGTAATGAGCCTGAAGTATTTCAGATCTTTTATACAAGAAAAAAAACCTGTCATCACATTTTTGTTGAAATTAATTATTTTTATGCTTGAATTAACGTAATCGTCCGAGGACTGAGAGTGGAGTCAATAAGGTCATGGTAGAGCTACCCTGTGTACAGTCACTTAAGGTAGATCAGAATGTACCGGGGACAAATAGGTGTATGGGAATTAATATTAATAGGTACTTTCTCTAATGGTTTTGCAATTTGAATCACATTTTGTTTGTTAATAATAATTATAACTAGAAACACGAATTTACCGTACCAAAGAATGGCAATCGTATCCGTTAGAAAACCGTCGGTAGCTCTAACGGTCATAGGACTGAAATTCTTATACAAGCTAGACTGACCCCCATCTCTAGAAGACAATAAGTATAAAGCTGAAATGGAGAAAATTTGGACTTTCAAAAAAAACTTGAAAACTGTTATTTTTGCGCTTGTTACAAACATTCTATCTAATTCGTTTCCCTCTCTTATGAAATATTTGAAAGAGACAAATCTTCAGACTCTTTTCATACGCTTTATACAATTTACAACTTGTGTAAGATTAATTGTTTTGTATTATTTTACATTGTATAAAGACAGGTATAATCACTACAATACTTACTGATAACGTAGCAAAGAACACGTGTCTAAATCAACCATCAAGAAATCAGTATCTGTGACCAGGCTAGTCAGGTGTTTAGGAATTTACATATACAGTTCATATGGAAATAAATAAAGTGACACCTTATTTGAAGTTAAATGTGTCTGTTCAGGTGTTTGTCTAGTTTCTAAAAATACACCCCTACTCGTTAATTTTACGTGAGCCTGTGCTCTTCCAATTGATTATGGGGTTAAACCAACTTCTGTTTTAACATTATTTCTGACCATTGTGAATGTCCATCGTTTTTGGCCCCTAGCACCACCGATATGTCCTAGACAGACAAAAAACGGTGTGGTACAGTGATGCTCATTTGTGGAGTACAGTATTTATTACAAAACTTTTCAGGTGCGATCGCGTGTGTGTTAGTTTAGTTTAAACATATTGTATTGCCAAGCAAATGGATTGGACACAAGTTATTAAACTTATATTAAGCCCTTTCCAAGCAAATTACAAGCATACTGTATATTTACAATATGACAAGATGGCAGACTTCATTAATATATATATATACACTATTTCATTTTTAAATGCTTTAATTTCTAAATTGAAACTAAAAGAGAGAGAGAGAGAGAGAGAGAGAGAGAGAGAGAGAGAGAGAGAGAGAGAGAGGGGGGGGGTTACCTCAATCTTATACAGAGTTGGGTGTAGACTGATAACCGACAGCAGTAAGTGTAGAACAATAGACACACACGATGTACATTTCTTACCAGTTGATTGCAGATCTGTGCGGTCCTCGTTGGATACCACGCGAGCTTTGTAAGGATGGATGTTAACGACATTTCATTATGGGTGCCGCTGGGGAACTCTTTCGTAGTTTGTCGGGAATAATTACATCGTTTGTATTTAAATGTCTAGGGTACGGAGAGCGATCTAAATGGTAGCATGCAAACAAATAAACAGCTTCATCGGGGCATTAGCACAATAGCGTTTAGCGTTAATGAGATGGTCGGGGGTTTACTCTACAAACAACGGCAACTTTTATTAAAGTCCCAGCGGAGACACAAACCTCCGATACAGGACGATCTCTAACACTATTTGTGTATACGACTCGGCAACAAATGTGCTGGCCGTGTACACAAACACATTAACAATTTTAAAAGACTTTTTAACTACCGGAATGATTTAACAGTTTATAGATGCTTTTCTCATTAAATGTTAACTTTAAAAAACGGGAAGATTTGTATTTTGATTTGATTTCGTAAAAAAAAGAGAGGAAATGTAATAATTAGTATCAAATAATATATTAAACACAGACACTATGAATACCAATATTAAGAATACTTTTATCACAAGTTGTATAGTCATTTTTTCATCCAAGAAGATTTAACGGTATAAAACATACTTATCCGATTTTAAGCTATTTAAATTATCAGGCAAACACTAGTTTGTTATAACCGTGTTTATGTCTATAATTTAGTATTTCTTAGTACATGTTTTTATATGCATATTCTAAACTTCGCAAGTATTTGTATGTGGTTATATTGATCAACAATGATCTGTAGTGTCTAAGAAAGGTCTTTTATTATTTGAGACACTGAAAGCAATCTTTTAATTCAAAATCAGGACACCATGACGACCGTACACATTTTACAGCGTAGATTGAAGTTTTCCCGAGAGTCAACCCTGGCTAAATAGTTAGCTGGTCAATGGGACAAAGAAAACCCCTGATACTTGGAATAGATTCTTCGGTAGCAAATCTCTATAAATGCAGGGAAGGCCTGTTTGTTACTATCAAGAAAAGGAAAATTATAGACATGCACACTTGATCTATCTTCATTTATAAAATTTTACCTTATTGCAGGTGGCCGTTTGTTCCACGATGTCGGTTGAGGGTCCCCTGTTAGCTGTTTCAGATAACATGTTTGTGCACAACAACTCTAAACACGGCCGGCGAGCTAGACGGCTAGACCCAACGGAAGGAGGTATGCCACTAGATAGTAGTTTCCTTCCTAGTACGAAAGTCAGTGTTACTTAGTACAACAGCGTAAAGACAATTGTCATTCTAATCTTGAAAATGCTCTGTCTTGTCCATTTCTTATAACACCACAGCACAAAACGAAGTAATGAACTTGAATCAAAATATTTATTCCGCTTGTTTTATGGAAATGGTGAGCTGATAATTGTTTACTCTGTTGAAATAATTCACTGACTGACTACCTTTGTAATTGTTTTCTAGTTCCATGTTTATTTACTAGTTAGTTTTGTTTATATTCTGTTGGTTTTTTTTTGTTTTTTTTTATTTCTTATGTTTTGTTGCATTTATTATTTTTTTGTAATCTTATAACTGTTGTGGTAAACTTGACTATGGATGTGAGACCATACGAACATCTGACAGACAGAACTGCATCGTCCGTTATGCTTTTTCATTGAATTCGTACATATATTTATTAACCTTGTGCGGAAACTACCTTAAATTCGGAATGCGTCCATTCCTGTTGGGTCGTTTGCACAGATCTAACGTATCCCATTTCACGCCAGCATGGTAAATATAACAGTTTTTGTACAGTCCACCCCAATAGTTATAAAAATACTATTTTAGGATGTTACCCCGCTGGTAGTGTTCCTCTTGGCTTGCATTAATTAGAGCCCTTGTCTCCTTTAACCGGCACTCTTGTTGGAATCTTTATGCAAGAAATCTATTGAACGTTTGATGAGAGCCGATTTCATTTTCATCCACTGTCGATTGTCACCTCTCACTGGGGTCAGATTACCTAAAGACAATCATTCACTGATGGAAGATTATAACTTTAATTAGAATGACAAAGAAAAGCGTTTGAGTGACTGTTGTTGGCCAGCTGTCTGCTATTTGATTGTACCGGCCCATCTGGCTTGGCCCGACCCAAACATCTGTGGCGCGAAAGGCACTTCCTGTGGGTAGAAGATGAGCGAGCACGTCCATGTTTTGCTATAGCCGGACGTTTTAAATATTGTTTTGTGGCCTATATATATAAGTGCACTTTTTGTAAACAAAAATCTTGAAAAAAACTTAAACAAATCTAAATAAAAAATTATCCTGATTTATATTACATTGTTATTTCAGTGTTAATTTGCGTTGTCAGTCGACTGAGAAATTTTACCTTATTTTAAATAATAATATTTTTGTTATTTATAGTTTAAAAAGTATGACTTGAATGGGCTATGCAACTGCTTTCAAGACACTGGCATAAGATCTATAAATATCACCACAGTGTCCGCTATATACATTCTCACTCTTGTTAAAATCGATATAATAGATGAAAGCAAGAAGAGTGTTTGTAAAAAAGATCGCGAAGGATTAAAATTATTTTGGTGAAAAAACCAGAGATCGTGCACGAATTTAAATAAGATATATTAAGTTGAATAACCATTATTTTGAGATGAAGCAAGGTCTCGTTCTGATAACATCTCGTATTATTTTGAGCTGCGTCCTTTGAACTATGTTATCCGTCTAATAGATTATTCGGCGTCTCTGATATTCCTGTCCGAACCCTGGTCCTAATTTGTCACTAATTGGTAAGTTTTCAAACACTAGAGTTCGATCAAATTGTTTGAAATTGACATAACGGCCCGGTTAAGCACTGGCCATAGGCAGTCGACACATAAAAGATATGTTTTCTTTGTGCTTTTACATCTTGCTTTTTTAAGCTTTTCTGTGTTTTTGGTTCAATTTGATTTTCTTGTTGATGTTGCCACATAACTTTATTATTCGGATAGGTTCAACAAAGAATTTGTGATAATTACATACAAGATGACTTTTTTCTTGAATTAGGTTTTGGGAAAAGCGCAGTTTATAGATATAAAATTCATTAATGAACGCTGACAATTTAGTCATAATGTGATATGTTCTCTATGAAATGTATCGTGATGGAATTCCAGAATACTTAATAGTTCGTTAAAAACTTCCTACTTTTATCTTAACTTAACAAAGAATTCCCCCATTCTTCATAGATGCTTGGTTTCTGGCAGACTCTTATGGCAGATTCTCTAAGTATCCCCGGGACACAGCCATTCTTAGTAAGTAATATTTTACGTATTTTGATTGGTTGATTATTATCCAACCAAAACTAAGCACATGTGTGTAACAATTACCGGACATTTCATCATTAGTACAACCAGAATATCTTGAATTTAGAATAGAATTTTCTAAAAGATTATATTCATTTATATATCCAATTGATTGCTTCATTTTTTCTTCTTTATTTAATTTTTCATTTCTTCTTTTGTTTTTCTTTGCCATTATTACCTTTCAACTTTGTAGCTTTCTTTCACTCACCTTCTAAATTTGATAGCTCTCACAATTAGAATAAACATTTATTATCTTTTAGGATGAATTTTATGAATGATGTTGCCCCCAAGTAAATTGATAGTTATCAGTGGGTGTTTACATTCTGCTTACAGCGACACCTTGTATCAAAGCCATCTGTCCCAGTGAAGGATGGACAACAGGAGGGACAACCGTCATCATAATAGGAGACAACTTTTTCGACGGCCTTCAGGTGGTGTTTGGGACCATGCTTGTTTGGAGCGAGGTAAGGGTCTTGATTTTGTGCAATTGTGTCCCCTTATAACCCGAGGTCCTCCCCATCCGATCCTGACATTGTGTGCATTAAAGGAGAAAAAATCATTTTAAAATATAAATTTGAATTTAAGTTCAATTTCATTAAATGAAAAATGTCAAGTGTCAAAATATTTTACATAATTTTATATTAAACTGTATTAATTAGGACATTTCTTTTTTACGTAATATTCTAATTTACCTGTGACTGTGTAGATGATTAAGGTGCCTTTGTAATGCTGGCTGGATTTAATTGTAATGGCAATACAAACCGACCCACCGCATACAGATCTAATTTCTGATTTTCCGGCCTATTTAGTCTTGGATCTAAGCACTTCTTTTATGCAGGAGGATTGGTGATAAACAATGAAATTCACCCATTAGAGGAAAACCGGCAAATCTATTACTGGTAACTCAAACATTCAAACCCAGTAATGGAAGAGAAAATTAATTTTTGATGCGCAACAAAAGAAGTCTAGCTTAGCCTCGGATCGAACCTTATCAAACGAATAATCCAGCATGCAAGCCGGTATAATAGACCCACAACAGTAGTGAGTGCTGACGGTGGTGCTGATAGTTGAGGCCAAATCAAAGTATTCCGTGTTTCATATGCCTCTTTGGCGGATAGTTAAGGTTTCTCGAATAATTAGAAAGCTACTGACCAAAACAGATTTTGTTTGATATTTACTTTTTTTTTTACTACTTAACGGATTTATGTTTGTAGCCATTTCTCATTCGAGTGTTTGGATGGTTTACATCACCATACTAAAACCAAAATGTGTACGTGTCAACCCTTGAAATTTGAAGAGACGGAAAACAAAGAAAACCGAACACGTTGCCTAAAAAGTTGCCTTTGAATTGTGATATTTACCGGCCACTCTGTTTTGTATATATCGGTTTTTTACGCCCCTTTCATATCAATAGCAGGATCTGGTATTGAAATGCAAGAACGATTCGTCCATAAAGTGGGGTTTCTTTGCCTGCCCTGCGATCCGTTAATAATTCACTGTTTTCAGTTAAGCTAGGATAGAGACAAGTGCAAACATAATTCATAGGAAACTGATTTCAAGTCTTGTTTCCGAAAATACTTTGTAAGCTTGCATTACTACGTCCGGTTTAGAATTCTTTTCCATACCTTTTAACAAGAGACGGACTATTTAAAAGGATGTCATTTCGTATGCAAATATAGGCGATGAATTCACTGAAACGGAACACGCGCACGTGCTATTGTTTACCGTTGTGCGTCTGTGTGGGGCGTTATCAGGCGGACAAGTGATCGACACATTCTATGAATGTTTTATACAACCCCGTACCTAGCCTGTCCCCACAACTAGTCTGGATAATTAGGACAGAATTAGGACCGGGAATGTGTCACTTCAACATAATGGCTTCTTAATATAGCATCCAGTATATTTTTACAAATATATAATGGCACCTGCTGAGTTCAGACAATAGTACACATAAATACATTAATTGTATATATAAATACATATCTAGTCTATATTCATAGTATATGCATACATTATTCTGAGACCTCATTTCATTTGTTGTCAAGAAGTGTATCTCTTCGAATAATTAGGGGTTTTAGACACTGTCAAATTTTGGCTTAGTCACATATTAATTGGTGTTCTTGTGTAGTTAAAGTCTGTATCTAATGTAAAACCATCCATACGAGTTACTATAAATAACACGAATCAAAATTCTTGTGAAATCAGTCGAAGCCTAATTGAAAAAAATAAAGATTGGCAAATTAATCGTGCTTTACATTATAACAAGCTTCGTTTTTGTCAGTGTGATTACGGCGCATGTGAAGTTTTGCATTTTGACTTTAATGTTTGACAAAAGTCAAAGTTCGTGATACATTTACTCCTTTAATGGCAATGTAGCATACGATGGACGTTGGTCTAGGGGTAATATGATAGGTTTGCAAGTGTTAGAGCATGCATATAAAAAAGGAGAATGAACTGACAATACTTGATAAATTTTGATAAATAACATTTCAGTAGTTACACAATTGTCCTTCTACTATGCATCATCTATAAATGGCGTTTGACATTTACGTTATCTCCAGATCATATAAAACATCATTCTCTTACCATAGAGTGAAGGTCGGGAACATAAATATCCCGTCTAATTGTAAAGCATTAGGAGAAAGCGTCGCGGCCTACTACTGAAATACATTCTAATTACTATTTCAATTGCCTGACTGGGTTTGGTACATGTTTCAGTTAACCTGGAGATATGCATCGACGTTGTCAGCGCATCACTTCTCACGAAGTATTCAAATCTACACGTCGGGATATTTATAGCTTTCACTGTTGAAATGAGCGGCAAACATGCCTTAACTTTCATGTCTGTGTCCACCGGGACTATTTGTTCCAACCTAATCTTCCTAGCCGATTATGTGATGTTTACTGTACGTCTATGTGTTATAAACCAACTGCATTACGTGTATCATAACTACTACAGATTTATCAATAATGTTATGCGTCAGAATAGTACGAATATAATATAGGAACATCTCAGTTTAAATATTGCACTAAAGTGCATGGAGAATTTCCAGCAATTGTGATTCCTCTTGTAATATACACTGACAATCACCAATGCACAGTCACTCATTTGTTCCTGAGCGCGATGAGACCTGTTTATTTGTGAACTATCTGCACTCCTATTTGAGATTAACTCCCTTATCTTATGACAATTCTTTGATATCTGATGAAAATTATATTATAGTATTTTCGCAACTTTACTGTTTTAAGGTTTATAGCAATCGATGACTTCGAAAATGTCACGTTTGCTAATAGAAGATTTAATATAACTTTCAACAACATTTTCACAGATTGTTACGAATGTTGTCGTTGAATATAGTCTTAGTCTGTAGGATTCTTTTCAAAATAATAATAAAAAATCGACATTGTTTTGTTTCCAGCCTCGTTTTGATATATTTCTCGGCATTCATCGTTTTCAATGTCACATGATATGTGTTTGTTTGTTTCAGTTGATAACGTCCCACGCTATCCGTGTACAGACACCTCCTAGACACATACCTGGGGTCGTGGAAGTTACCCTGTCCTACAAATCTAAACAGTTCTGTAAAGGCGCACCAGGACGCTTTGTCTACACAAGTAAGTACCACAATTATAACAAATACAGTACTCTTAATGCTTTTTTAGTATTTCTTCAACGTCTTTTGTACTACGTTAGTATTAGCGTCGGGCGCTTTGTTTACACAAGTGAGTACCACAGATACACCAATAGAGTACTCGTAATGATACGTTAGTATTAGCGTCGGGCGCTTTGTTTACACAAGTAAGTACCACAGATACACCAATAGAGTACTCGTAATGCAATCTTAGTAGCAATTGTGTACTACAAAAGCGTGTCGGCGCGCTTGGTACTTTCATCAACAGGATACGAAAAGTAAAATGTCTACTGCATCCGTACCTACAAAGTGACGAATTTAGTTAAAAGTCCATCTCTTTAACGACATTTATTTATGTTTGATCTTCATTGCTGTAAATAACAACGCTACTATCTTTCTATTCGTAAACAAAAGTTTCATTCTGTTTTAATACGATAAACAACTCATTTAATTATTTTATCAACATGGTAGAGAAATAATAATAGTCTTTATTTATACGTGATGACGAAGTAGAATGAACCATGTGATCGGTTGATAGCTGATCGCAGCGACTTCTTCGTGTGAGGAGACTAATGTTAGACCTTTGCAGTTACGAGTTTTTTTTTAATGTGGGGCTCTCGCAGTGTGTGTTTTCATCAATGTACTCGGATTTGGGACATGAAAGATAGAAACATTCTATCCTTTCTACCATTCTCCTAATTTACACTATGATTTAACCTGGGGGGTTTTATTGGTCCTTTTGACATTTTTTGGTTAGCCGTTAGTCACTCAATTAACTAATCAGATTCAAATAGTTCTTTAAAGTTGTATATTGCATAACCAAACGGGCATAACAATTCGTTATATTGTTAGTAATCATTTATATGACATCAACAAAGTAGTGCATATCACAGTCTGTGCGTTAACATTAGAAAATTCCGTTTCGTCCATAGCAATAAATAAGATTAATGGAATGGGCTTTTAAAATGTAAAGAACTGCACTTGAGTTTTCTTTTGAGACATTAAGGATATGTTACGCCTGCTCCAGATCCATAACGTCATAAATCATCCGATTTCACGGTTATACTGCAGACCGTTCTTCAGCATGCGTCACGGTACTATCCTCACAAAAGTTTATTTCACATAATGCAATTAACATTAGTGATTAAAAACCGCAAAAGAATACATTTTCCAGAGATGATAACATAAATTTGATCCATCGTTAGAAACATAACACTACAGACATCCACTTTTAGTACTACCATGTTATGCAATTCATAATTGTTCAAAAGAATAGGTCAAAATGTCGGTGACACATTCAGGGCCGAATTCAATCCCTTGATTTGATTGGCTATCGCTTTTTACAGTTTTCTATGTGACATATGGGCTTATTAATTCGCTGTCAAATAGAGAACAATCGACTATATTTCTATGACATCTGTATCTTTCGGTGCTGCAAAATTCCATCCATCACAATGACGTGCGCAATGAGAAACTGGCTCTTCCTAACGTTCAATGAATGGCTACATCGCGACATGATATTAACACGAATGTCAGTGGCGAACGATGATTTTCTAATTCCTGTAGCGGTAATGGCAGAGCTTGCAGTATTAACGCCTGACGAACAAGCTCAAAGGTTCCAGGAGCTTTCATTACTTCAATAAAACTCAGCATCTCGCAACGAGACACCACCGAGTATGGGGCAAATTACTTCCCTCTCTTTAATTATACGGCGGACTGATACGCGCGTGAATCCCGATAATATATTGTCGTGTTACAGTGTTGATGAATATCAATATAACATTCATCTCGGTCCAAAGCAAGGTGCTAAAAGCCGTAATTATCTTTCAGGCGAAAATGAAACATATTTGTGATCGAGTATGATTTTTATTGCATGATTGAAGCATCATTTGTTCCCAAGGTTTATGACAGACGAGATGAAAAATGAGATTAGAATGTTGTCTATTTAGAATATTGATTTATCCGGCCATGGAAGGAATCTTATAAAAAAAGAAAAGAATGGACTATCAAAGAAATGATGTATGCCAATGAGGCGATTAAGGTGCAGTAAACAATGCTTTGATTATCCCCCCTTTTCGATGTGGAGTTATTATCTAGAACTATTTATTCTAGTTATCATATGAAGGCATCTACTGTCAACACTTGCGTTATTTAACTGGCGTCACATCCCGACACGTTCCGATGGTCTAGCGGTATTGTACGGGCGTTGAAGAGTTACTCTTGTCAGTCGGCAATCTGATACGGACCATAACCGTAGATTTATTGTTGAGATAGAACAAAATATACTTTAAATGTCTTCTATTCTGCTTCATTAAATAAACTATGACCAGTTTTAGTGGACACCTTTTATTTTGAGGAACAGATGAATGACACATTACTTTATCATTGATCAAGTGAATACACATTCAAGGCTCGTTGAATTGCTATATATAAGGTCATGTGACACATGTGCACGTGTAGAACAATTATATACTTGTAATTTTAAATTTTAACACGATATATTTTTATATATAAATATGTATATATAATAAAAAAACGGAGACTACATTTCGCTAGCGCTTTCGTCTATCTTGGTACTCTTCCTGCGATTCAAACGTATTTGTGACGTCAAAAATGGAGTACACAAACCTTCGCAAAAATAATGACGTCATAAACAAAGTACATATAATGCGGACGTCATGAAATTGCGACGTCTTTAAATGATTACATGAATGTTCTAACGTTAAATGCGTCAATGAAATATATGGAAAAAGAAACGAAATATAATATAAATGCTCAAATGAATGCATTGGTCAAGAACAAACGCTAAAAATATATGATAGTAAAAAACAATCTCAAAGCATGTTTTGTATGTTTTGTACGGAGAGCTCGGCACGGTAGTCGAACGATTATATGACGGGGGGGGGGGTCAAATCCTTTACTCCCTATTCTGTATAGAGATGTACGCTCTGCAATCGAGAAATTTCATCAAACAAATCACATACATATAGATCAGTTATCATATAATTCTTGCACAAAACACATATCAATGTCATTTGTTGAAAATGCAATGAGTTTCAAATAATTTCACATGTCGAATGTTTTGGTTAGATTAATGCATTTTAACCGGTACTCATTCCAATTTGATAAGAATGCTTTATATCTTGTCTTCAGAATAAAATAGCATTTCGTTCCAGCGATCTGTTACTTCGATACTGCAAAATTCTTGGTTTAAAATAATCTGAAAATCGAACCAAGTTTCATTTTTTATTTAATGGTCGTGAACTCCATTTGAGACAAGCAATTTACTGTTTGACAAAACAGTGAAATGACTTTGAATTTATTTTTTATTTCATTATATTATGTTTGCTATCTAAGAAATCTGTTTCAAAAACGTACGAACTGTTTTATTTATAAACTGTAATTTTCTATTGATATCAATATATTGGCGTTGAAAAATAATTTAAACTAATGTGTAATTTCTTATTTACTCCAGCTCTCGCTGATCCCACCATAGATTACGGCTTCCAAAGATTGATGAAACTGGTCCCAAGACATCCGGGCGACCCTGAAAGGCTTCCTAAGGTAATAAAATAGTTTTCTTCTTTGTCATCGACCTTTAAAACATCAACACTACAATAAGAACTATTTTATATCATATACTCTCTGGTATGTCATTTGATAGATGTGCCTTTTCTCACTTACTCTTGACGATCATTATTGATAATTGGCTCGTACAATATTCGTTATGTTTAACAAAATGAAAAAGACTACTATCTATGTTATTTCTTAAGCTTGGCAAAGCAGCATTGTGAACTTCAATGTTATTTTCGATAGGAATATAATAAAAGTTGGTTAAAGTGTGCTTGATAAAGTGAGCAACTGAAGAAATGATAGACACGGTGATTGCGTATGATAGTTCAAACTAAATGGATAGAAGAAGAAACACACAAACCTAGAACATGAAAGTTTATGACCAATCATTGTTGAATTAGTTTACTTTGTAATCACTTCGATTTTTTCATTATTTCAAGATATTTGTATACGGTTTGTCTGAAAGAAGTATGCTTAAGTTATTAAATCCTTACCGTAGCAAATATTATTTTAAATGTATTTTTTAATTATTATTATAATTGTTGTTAAATCGTATTATACTCTATATTCACAGGAGATAATTCTGAAGCGAGCTGCAGACTTAGCTGAGGCATTGTACAGTATGCCACGAAACCACAACCAACTTTCACTTCCGCCTCCCCGCTCCCCGGCCATGAATAATGGCTCACCTATGTCCAGTTTTAATTCATACGCCGGTCAGCTAGCGGTCAGTGTACAAGATACCAATGGCCAATGGGAAGAAGGTAAGCATTTGATTAAAAAATATAACGCAACTTTGCGAACACAATTAGTAAGCGTCGCACTGAATTCAAACGTACTATCAGATACATCCAACACAACTTGAATTGAAAAAGGAAATTAGGACATGTTTTTACGATTGACCGCAATTCTCTGTTTCGAAACGGCATTTCTCCTTTTAATACAAAATTGATTTATGTATGCTTGCAAGTAAGTGGTTTTATTCAATATTGCCAGGTTACACAAGAGGCCAAGCGTCAAGCGTTTCTCCGAGAGGATACGGCTCAAACGGTTCCACGCCCCATAGCAACGGAAGTAGTTATAGCTCAACAGCCATGAATGGCTACCACAGTGGAAGTCTGGGAAATATGGGTAAGCATGAACCCATTGTTTTTACCTTTTGATGTCTAGAAAGTCATTGAATGGGGTGCTTTGAGGGGGCTGGGTCTCTGTCCATCATTTAACATTTTACATGCTTTACTCGAAAAAGAAGTGTTTTTTTTTAAAGTTAGTAGTTTTTTCTATAAACTGCTTGAGGCACGATTCCCCCCATTTTAAATGAATGCCCATCTAACAATTAGAAGTGTTCAAAGCATGATTACTCTAATGAAAAATTAACACTTTTATAATTGTATAAATGCGTTAATTTTGTAATAATTATTACATGTTTATGGATTTCTTTGTGGCAAGAAATATGAAAATATCCACATATTTCCAATCAATATTACTTAAATCTTGTAGGGTTTTATAACTGGGCAGGTTAAGAAATTGTTAACATTTAATTTAATTTGCAGACAAACAATGTTTTCGGGGGAAATTGGTGCAACTAAAGAGTGTTATTCCAATCGCTTTTCATTTTACAGCTAGCATTTCTTCTTTAAATTTGTGGTAAACGGTCGACAGTTTTAAGCCATGGGGCGTTAATTTGTACAAATCTGAACTGTATTCGGCTTGAATAATTAATTTTCGTGAAATAAATTAATCACCACAGAACATTATGGATATTGCATTCTTTTTTATTCATGTGAATGAGCTGGATTTCCATAATCAAATACTAAGAAATAAGAGCCAGATGCTTGATGTTCCATACAGTTAACAGGCCTTCGCTGGCCCGTCTATTTCCCTTCTCCTAGCAAACGCGTTGTGCAAAGAAACTCGCCTCATCTGAAATCAATTGTTTAACTAACTAACCAAAAACAGTTTTACTTGTAATTTCCCCTTTCAATTTGCAAACAACATGATCTGTACAAACAAGTAATATTGCCTTTATTAGGTTTAGTCTGTATCACTGTCTTCCGCATACAAATTTGTTGTCTTTTGTGATGGGATTGAGACACACATTGTCCATAGTCCCTAGTGGACTACATATTGTATTAGCCTACAAGCAAGTTTCTTGGGGAGGCCAGTCTTTGGGGAGGAAAGAGATGCATTCCAGACATGTTAACACACATCCTACCCTTATACAGATGCAGCTTTGCCCGTCGTGGCTTCCTATACTAATCTAGACTATAATTGGTCTCGGATTAAATACAAGCCATTGGCTTGCTTGATTGTACACATCCGTTCTCTAAACAGGCTGTTAGGATAAAGTATCTCGATTTTATTTACAAGATTTGCAATGTCTGTAATCACGTCATTTCTGTTGAATGCAGAGTCATTTTGTGTGACTTGTATTGTCCCTTTCCGCTTACTCTGTCGGGGATACAATTCCTGCAGTGAGAAGAATACATTGGTTTTTTTTACAACTATTGCCTTGATACCTGCAATTTTATGGAATTCTTGTTAACCGGCTATGTTATCGGGATAATCAACTGAATGAATTTCATATAAGGATTAGTATATATTTTTTCTCCTTTTTTTATTTTTGTTCGTTTGTTGAACAATAAGTAAATTTTCAATCAAACTATTTTTAAATATATTTATTTAGAGGGGTTATCAGAAAGTTGAAAAGAATTAAAATGGCTTTGCGATATTCAACAAAACATTCCAGTCAGTTTCTTCCAATGAAAGTGTCGATTTTTAATGCTGAAAAATGATTGATTATGATATTTAAGGAAGGTGTTTTGAGGTTGTCATGTTTAAATTGCTGTGTTATCTTTATGGGACAAACTAACTCTATACCAAAATATAACACGATGGCTGCTTGTACTCAAATAAAAAAAAATAGCATCAACACTCAAACGTGTTAACGGGTTCCAAGCCAATGCAGAATTACCGGTTCCGGTTTCAGTTGTTTCGACGTTATATATCATATATGCGAAAATAATGTACATAAAATGTCCATAATTCACCTTACAGTTGTTGTTTTGACCTGAAACAAATACTTACAACGTTAATGTTTCATTTTTTGGTCTTTTCTGAACAGAGTGCCTTGACCATTTCGTCTCAGCACTGGTTGATTGGTGTGGTGTTGTTATGGGTTTGACTTGTCTGGGGTTCATTGCTTCACTTGTTCAGATAATTTCCTCTAATCTGCCGTGAGCTTTAACCACTTGGTCTGATTTAGAGATTGATGGATTGATATGGCTATCGAAAATCTTCTCTAAGCGGTTGTGGTCTTGGTTAGAATCCTCCTAATTTTGCTCTGTATCCTTTTTGTTTTCTGCAGTGGGCCCCTCACACTCACCCTCCCTGCCCCCTCCTGTGCCCTCCTCCGGTTATCAAGGTGGAAGTGCGCCAGGGATATTCTCTTTTTCACCAGCCAATATGATCTCTGCAGTGAAACAGAAAAGCGCCTTCAACCCTGTTGTGCGGCCACCGGGTTCGGGCGAAAGTCCACCCGCTGCGGGATCCATTCCGTCAGGACTAGCTAGTGGGTGGGCGCACCCCATTCTCAATGTCAGTATCTTTGCAATTTCTAGAACAAAGATTTCAATTCCTTATTTCTAAAACAAAAACACTGAAGTATACTATTTTACTGCAGATTGGGTAATTTACATCCCAAAATTAAATAACAAATAAATATATAAATAAAACCTTCTTTTGGCTATCTTCAGAGAACAAAAAACAGAATCAATCCCAGTCTACGGTAGAAATGTCCAGACTTTTTCTAGAAGGCATTTGCTATTTCCTTTATTAAATTCGAACATCAAATCAAGGCCCTTAATTTTACTGCAAGAACATATTGGCTGATTCTGTGATCATTGGTTTTTGTAGGTAGATTTAGGTTTTTAACTGTATCATGTGTTTGTCATTCCTGTTCCATTTATTGTTGTTCTATGTTCGGGTTTTTTTTATACGGAAAACATGAAGATGCTTCCAGATGCATTGCGTACAGTGGACAATGTTTTTTGTGTTTTTTCAGGAATGAGCAGTATAGTGACGTCACCTTTCTCAGCTGTTAATCCCTTCGCTCTACCGACGTGTAATGGTCAAACGTACGGCAGCTCTTTAATATCATCGGCAAAATGATCTTAGCCCGTTGCTACCTAGCAACCAACTATTACGACATACCCCAAAATGGACCAGAATGTGAGGGACGACGTCCAAATTACGACATTATATCTTTACGGAACATTTGCTGAATGGGAGATTGATGTCGTAAATGTTTTTTGTGCAGAAAGTGATTCTTCTTAGACAAAAGGATGTCGTAGTATACTCAGAACCTTTTCAGTCTTGAATGTGGGGTGTCCTACGCTAATGCACGGGCTAGCCTATATACAGATTGTTGATTTGCAGAAAAGGACCGTGAACAAGTTTTGTGTGAGCATTTCCATCATATCACATGGTCAATCACGTGTGAAAGGAAAGAATTGTTTCAAACAAAAATGCCTTAATATAAATTGCTCATTTTACTTAACAGGGATATAGTCGTGTGTGACCAGTGTGTTGACACTTTAAGTCTTCTAAGATGACACAGGTTTTAATTTTATTTTAAATTTACTTGGGCCTCCAATCATCATCTCCACTGATCACAATGCAGTTCTCGTCTGAAGTCACGTGGCTGCATCGAGACTTTGTTTAAACATGTCGGCCAGCGTCTCAACATTGCATCACTATATAGTTCACAAATTTCATAGACTAAAAGACTTGTGTTTTTGTGGAAGGATGCTAACTAACAGTGCTGTGAATATGTTTTCATGGACTTTATTTAAATGTGATAATATGGATATACAGATAGTGTATTTCCAGTTTCTGTTTTTTTTATAATTATTTACTCACTATTGAAACAGATGAATTGCGTTTTATGATTATATTAATACTTACATGTTAAACTTAAACCGATTTCTATATTTATTTATAAGTTTATCTTCATCTAGTCAACTTCTATATTGTTCTGTATATTTCTAGTCATTATTGGTAGGATTCAAGTAGGATTTCATTTTTACTACATGTTATATTTCAAAATTAATTTTATATTTATTTTTCAATTCTGTATAATTATTATACACGTTTACCCCCATGGTGAGCAAACATTCTTATATTTCAGTCAAAATAACCTAAGTTTATATAAGTACGGGTATCGCATAGAAATTTAGAAATACCCTTACCGTACTTTTATTCATACAACAAGCGAAATTCAGGGCAGATTTAAAAAGATTTTCTTTTTAATTTGACCGAAGTCTGTAATATTTGATACTTTTAAGGCCTAGATTATTCCAGAAAAGCAAACTATGACACATATTGATGTAAAAGGTTGTTGTTTCTTATCTTTAGAAATTGGTTTGTAATAAGTGTTAATTATATATTCTAGTCGGAAAAAGATAAGTCTTTATCAGCCTTTCCTGCTCAATACTCGCACAAACAGTGATCAACTCATTTGTGTGCCAAATTCATAGTTTGGACTGTTAAAAACATATTTGTACATTGGAACCTCGTTAATCCGTATCACTTTAATCTGGACTCCAGTATTCCGGAAACCTCATGATCCGGACGCAAATATATAGTATTGTATTTGCCTTCATTAATTCAGAAAAGTATAGTGTAATCTAATTTATACAAGACACATTCGGATTAACAAGGTTCGGATTAAGAAGGTTCCATTGTATCACTATTTACGTCGATAATTGTTATTGCTTGTTTAAATCTTTTTTCTTTCATTTATTTTTTGAATACGACTTTTAAATGTACTTTTCAAAGATACGTCTTTCTACTTCAAGTTCTATTCTTTCGAATGTTTCTGCTTTTTACACATTCTGTTGAACTGTTGTGAAAACATTAAGCTAGTCTGTATGTGTGTCTGTAGTCCTTAAAACCTGTGTTTTATTAATCTTTACGTGAATGTATTATCCACTTATTTGATGTAAGTACTTTCTTGAGGTGATTGTAAAGAACATTTCCACTGGAAACTATCAAATATTTCACTTGGTTGAATAGTAGATCTTTAAGTCTAGAAAAAAATACATAGTCTGAAAACAGAAATTTTAGCAATTTAAGTAGTATGCACATTAAATTATTTCTAGACAGAAAATAAAAGTTTAGGTTGAAAAATTTGCCACATGTTTATTTTTTATGAAATTTAAGTATCTAGTCATTAGACATGCTGGCCTCTGAACTCTCTAGTGAGGGAGGTGAGAAAATGTCGTACGTATAGTGTTTATCTGTCCTTCCGTCCGAATGGAACAAATATCTGCTTAAATTTGAAATAAATGATAACCATACAGTGTGTTTTTTCAAAGATGAATTCACGGTAAGTTATTATCTACATTTCTTTCTTAAAAGGGAAACAACTCTCGTGTTCTTTTTGTTTTGCTCAGATGAACTTGTTTTTATTGACATTTACACAAAAATTCATCAGCATCTATCGTACGTTTGTAAGTCACTTAGCATAGTAAACTATAACTGTTTTGCCTAAATCGATAAAACCTAAATTATGAAGTCATATTTTTCTACACGTCATATTAAAAATAAAAGAAACTCTGTCACATTATATTCAAAATTGAACAATTGTAAACCTACATGTGAAACATTAACTGATTGCAGAATAAAATATGATTTGACCTCATTTATAACGTTCAATGCCGATGACTCCCGAACAGCAAACAAGCCTGCGTTCGTTGTATATCAAATAGAAATTATGCTGAATATTAATTTGATCTCTTGATCGTTATCAGATCTGACCTATTAATGAAAGTTCATATATACCATCCAGATCGACAAAAAACATATTTTTTACGATTAACTAATTTCATGATGATAATGGTTTGTTGGAAATGTGTTCTATGGTATTATAGATGCATGTTCAATTCGCTATTTCAAAAAAAACAGGCGTTTATTACCAGTAATTCTGTAAGCTCTATCTGACAGGCGTTTATTACCAGTAATTCTGTAAGCTCTATCTGACAGGCGTTATTGATGTCATTACTACACTATTCAGAAAATGTACACTCAGGTCTGCCGTATCTATCAACTTATTTTACTTCTTTTGCATGTTCAAAGATAATGAATATTATTGTATCAATTTAACTTTGTCTAACTTTGATGTAAATTATATTTGAATCTTTAAAAGTATGAAAAAATACAAATAAAAAAACTTTTAAAAATCAAATTATAGTTTTTTGTTGTCGCATTAAAGATATGCGTTGTTGATTAAATGTCATCATATAATTTATTCATGATAACATTTTTAGCTTGTGATAGACACCATTTTGCCATTTGATAAAGGTTTATGTTTATGTTGGAAACAATTAAGTCATGTGAAAATAGTTCCCGTTTGTGATGAAAACAATTTGGTCTCGTTAAAAAACAGTTTCCGTTTGTGATGGACACCATTTAACCCTATCATGAAGGTTTCAATTTTTGCTGAAGACAATCTTGTCACGTGATGACTTCTCTTTGTGAAGAACGCCATTTTGCCATATGAAAACGGTTCCCGTTTGTGATGGAGACAGTGTAGTCATTTCATGATAACATTTTCCGTTTGTGACGACAATCATTTCTTCAGCAGATAACGGATTCAGTTTGTGATAGAAACCCTTTACTGCATGTGATACCTGTATCTCACCCTGACACTTATTCTAAGAGTATTACATAAATGCTTTAAAAACAAAAGTTTGGTTTGGTTTACAAAGTTAAAGTTCTTATTACAGCTAAGATCATTTAAGGATTCGGCTTTATTTGTGAAAGGTTTGCGTGCGTGCGTGCGTGCGTGCTGGAGCCGGTGTGCTTGTGTATGTGCCTCCTTGCAATAGGACGGATCTGATGTCGATTTAGAGTGCAACCTCACTGAAGTACCAATCAGCCGAAAGTATCTAGCAGAGTATTCTAAATTGGTATTGTAAACGGGTAAGCTAGTCGTTGCGGTGACCCTAAATGAACGTTTGGCAGGGAGGAAATGCCAGTTCAAGAACTTAAGTACATTATTGCCTCGGGACAGAAACTACTTTCTCCGTCACGTTCTGCAATATAACATAACCAAAGCGTGGAGTGGTATAAGGAAGGAGATATGCTGTGTAATTTTATTTCACGCTGTGTAATGTATAATTTCACAATATAGATAACTAGGTCCTACCTTGTTGAGTTAATATAGGTCATCTTTCATTTTGGCTATTTCCTTGTGGAGTCTTTGCTGGTCGACATGTTGTAATGTCTGGCTACTGGAAGGTTGATGGAACAGCAGTGGTTGTTAATTCAGAGATTAAATGGCGTTACGATTTCATTGACCTACTTTACTTGACACTAAGTGACGTCACATACAGGACAATGTCTGAGGATGAGGTTAGTCTGTCGGTTGACTTCACAAAAAATGGGTTTGTGGGGTTAATGGATGGACAGAGCTTGCATATATAATATTGATGCACGACTCGAAACGACCAACTACAGATGTGTGATAAACAGAAGTAAATGAACTCTGGCACCAGATATCTTATATTTCTCATTCTGCAACAAACAAGCAATGGTGGGTTTTGGAAAGGTGCTCCTATCTTTATTGGACAGCATGTGAATGTGCTTCTGGGAAAAAGCTGGCAGTGATGTCATGCTAGGATGTAAGGTAACCACACAAAGTCTCCTTTCAGCATAGGATCTGATTTGTATTGCAGTAAACACGTTTTTCTTAAGTTTCTTTACTCTGTCGATTTCATCATCAATTTTTGCATAAACACGGAGAAGGTGCACACTCAGTTCCGAACAGTGGCTTCCAAAGACGTCCTCACCGGAAACAATTCGTCTTCATCTATTTTTGGAAAAGGGAATGTTCTTGTTTGTGTGTGGTATCAGGTATCAGGAAAGCCGGAGGTGCTTATGAGGTGTCACTTGGTTGTACAGTACAACCCTGCATTTATTTCTTCATACGTGAGTAGATGTCCAAACAACGTCATTTTCATTTGAAACAGCTCTGCATACTTTGCAGTGGTATTTATTAGTTTTGACAAGTGCCTACACCTCTGAATAGAATGCGTATGTTGGGGTTGACAAGGTTCATACACCTGACGTTAAAGAAGACAATACTGATACCAGTGACAAAGTGATAGAGTATATATAAACCTAATGAAGAGGGAAGGGGTTGACAAACTTTGATTGTCGCTTTCTTTTCACTTTGATAAATAAACGCCTGTTATTAATACATATTTTATGCTTCATCTAGAGACCACGAGGAATTGTATGGAATAGTCATTTTAATCATCAAGAGATATTTATACAATTGGGGTTTCTGAAACGCCTGACGTGACTGTTATCATGTATAATTAATAAAACTTTATTTTACACCTTGGGGAATCTGAAATGGACGAGATGGATTTATCTCTACTATCTATCTAAAAGGTTATTTAAACTGAGCTAAAAGTACAAACTCGGAATACATTATTACACGGAGATTGAACAAAGCAAATGAACACAGGTGATATATCGTCATTTATTAATTAATCTGATTTCAACACAGTTCGATTTCAAAATAAGTTGTATTGAAAACATAGCTAATTAAATTCTACCAATGTTCCTTGACGAAACAACTATAGATCAAATGACAGGACGGACGTGTGCATTAAATATTAAAGTAATGTTACAACACTAAAAAAAACTATAAAAGTACGAAGCCACTAAAGTACATGAGCTTTGACACAGTTTGGTGTTTGTTTGTTTGTTCGATCAGCTGTTACGGTAAATAAACAATTTAAGGTCAAACACGACAAAACTGCAAACACTGATAGTCATTACGTATGGAAGGAGAAACTGTTCAACCCGCGACAATAAATCCCAATAATCCCAAAGAAAGTATATTCTCTGTTGTCTAACATGTATCTTCTTTCAGGATTTAGCGCATGAACTTTGAGCCTCGTCGGTCCTCAGGACCTCAAATATTTGAGCGAAACCCGATTTTCAATTTAAAGTACAAAAGCAACAGCAATCTTTACCTTTGACCGTTGACCTTGTGACTAGAAAAGCCTTCTCAGGAAAGCGCTTCCAGTAAGGAAACTATATAAGAAGTTTGAGTTTGACGGTCTCATGGGAAGGTATTATGTAGAAACTGATTTTATATTTATAGTAACAACGGTCTTAGCCTTTGACCTTTGAACCTGATAGGATTACACCTTAAAAGAAATATTGGTAAATGAAACAGTTTGCCAAACATTAATCAAACTGCATCATACATCTGTTTCGTCCTTATAGAACTCGTCGTTGTCCAAAATATCTAAACAACTAAAGAAGCAAAGGTCATGTGCGTATATCCCCTTAATTTATGAATTAACAAATTAAGAGAAGAACAGCTTAATTTAAAATCAAATTTTTTGTAAAGTGTGTATATTTTGAGTCGTGCCACTTATTAAAAACAGAAAACTGTGGACATCCAAGTAGCTGCAATCCTCGGGGACGACCAAAGTCCACCAGCAGAACATACCACCTTGTATCCTAAAAGTTTACCGTAACACACACACAGGTAATTACACCTTACAACAATTTTCGTCATAGATGTAGTATGCCAAAAATGCAGTACACTGCATCATACGGCTGTTTCGCCCTTCTATGATTCGTTTGTCATGCAATGGACCAAAAGGGTGGACAAACAGGGTCAGGTGCGCAAAATCCCTAAAAAAGTCCCATGAACGCCGTTTTCATAAAGAACTTCTGTAAGATGTTTGACTTTAAATGGATTTAAAATGGAGATTGTGCGGACAGGCGAACATGTTGTCATTACACTATGCCCGCCCCTTTCCGGGGTATAATACATTCGGAAAACATGCTTGCATTTGAAATTTCTATCCAGAAACAGTATGTACATAATCACTTTCGTAGAAACCTTATTTTGACGTAATAGTTTAAGTTCACATGATGTCATTATAATGTTTATTTCTACGTGCTATTCTGTCATGATGACAGAGCAAGTTATAGCGAATGCTAATAGTTACAGATATTCGCCCTATTGTTTATGCTATAGTTAGCTGTCCTATTAGTTTGTTAACGATATTGTTATAGGGAACGTTCCAGACCACGGTAGATTGGTGTACCTTGTATTTGTTCGTGCTTTAGTTGTAGGGAACGTTCCAGACCGCGGTAGATAGGTGTACCTTGTATTTGTTCGTCGTTTAGTTGTAGGGAACGTTCCAGACCGCGGTAGATTGGTGTACCTTGTATTTGTTCATGTTTTAGCTGTAGGGAACGTTCCAGACCACGGTAGATAGGTGTACCTTGTATTTGTTCGTGTTTTGAAGTTGTAGGGAACGTTCCAGACCACGGTAGATTGGTGTACCTTGTATTTGTTCGTGTTTTAGTTGTAGGGAACGTTCCAGACCGCGGTATATAGGTGTACCTTGTATTTGTTCGTCGTTTAGTTGTAGGGAACGTTCCAGACCGCGGTAGATTGGTGTACCTTGTATTTGTTCATGTTTTAGTTGTAGGGAACGTTCCAGACCGCAGTAGATAGGTGTACCTTGTATTTGTTCGTGTTTTGAAGTTGTAGGGAACGTTCCAGACCACGGTAGATTGGTGCACCTTGTATTTGTTCGTGTTTTAGTTGTAGGGAACGTTCCAGACC